TGTAAGTATTGTCGGAAATGAGTGTTTCGCCTGAGACGTCCTCGAAGAAATAAGACGTCGGCAGAGGTGACTACTACATCTGTAGGGAGTTCAAACAAACTAGGTCGGCATGCCCAGGCTCAGCCTCGCGGACCTACTCTAAAACCATGTGTAAAAAAACACATTGTTTTGTTCCACGCCCTGCCGTCATCGCACAAATGATACTCGAAAACCTAATTTAAACAATTGTCACGGCGATCTTCCTCCAGATATTCTTCCGGATTTCCTCCAGCCAGTCACAGGTCACTGAATCTTCACGTAAATCTTCGCACAGGGCCGTAAATCATTACCCAGGGTTCTAATTTTTCCCCAGAGCCCGAGATCTTCACTTAAATCCCCACCCCGGGCCCTAAATCTTCACATAAATCTGCGCCCAGGGCCGTAAATCTTTGCCGAACTCTTCACCCGGAACCCTGAATCTTCACCTAAATCTTCACCCAGGGCCGCACAATCTCACCCAGACCTGAAATCTTCGCGTACATCTTCCTCAAGCGCACTATATCTTCACCCAGGGGCGTAAATCTTCACCCTGGCCTTAAATCTTCATCTCAATATTCGCCCATTCTCCTAAGTCTTTGCCCAGGGCGTTGAATCTTCATTCAAATCTTCTTCCAAGCGCGTAAATCTTCACCCAGTGCTCTAAATAATCTTCAACCAGGGCCCGAAATCTTCATTTAAATCTTCACCGAGGGCCCTAAATCTTCACCTAAATCTTCACGCAGGGCCGCAAATTTTTATTTCAATCTTCACCTATGACCCTGAATCTTCACCAACATCTTCGCCCATGGCCGCAACACTTCACCAAGGCCTTATAGATTCACCTACATCTTCAACCTGCGCCCTAAATTTCGCCCAGGGCCATAAATCTTCACCCATGCCTTAAATCGCAGGCCCTTGAATCTTTCCCGTGGGCATGAACTATTAGTGTTAATCTTCACCCAGGCCTGTAAATCTTCGCCCAGGGCTCTAAATCTTCACCCAGAACCCGAAATCTTCAATTAAATCTTCACCGAGGGCTCCAAATCTTCACCTAAGTCTTCACGCAGGACCGCAAATCTTTATCCAAATCTTCACCCAAGACCCAGATTCTTCACCAACATCTTCACCCGGGGCCGTACATCTCTACCCAGACTTTAATCTTCACCTAAACCTTCATCCCGGGGGTGACCCTAAACGTTGTTTGTTGTGTTGTTCCTAACGGTATCGTTTCAAACTTGTTTTTGTTGGGAACGCGTGTCAGAACACGTTTTCGCATTCTCTAAACGCCAGCCGTCGCAGGGGCAGGCGCCGTTTGTTTTGTTTGTGTTTTTGTTGTTGTATGCTTTCATGTTTTTTGTATTATCGGCGCGAGCAATCTTGAGCTACATTTCCCCTTCGATCGTAGCCTAAGTCTTCACCTGGAGTTTCACTCGCGCTCTCGACGTTTGAATCTTCACTTGAAATCTTCACCTCGACCTTCCCTCGCGCCTCGCAGCATACATCTCTATCTAAAGCTTCACGTAAATCTACGCCCAGAGCCCCGCCAGCCTAAATCTTCGTGTGAATCTTCACGTAAATCTTCATCCAGAGGCTCGCCAGCCGAAATCTTCACGTAAATCTTCGCTTAAATCTTCACCCACAGCCCCGCCAGCTTAAATCGTATTTGAATAGTCCCTAAAATCTTCACCCAGAACCCCAACACCCTAAATCTTCACCCCGGAGGCCCGCCAGACTAAATCTTCGTTCAAATCTTCACGAAAATCTTCGCCCCGGAGCCCCGCCAGCCTAAATCTTCATGTAAATCTGAACGAAAATCTTCACCCCGGAGGCCCGCCAGCCTAAATCTTAATGTATATCTTACCGAACATCTTCGCCCGGAGACCCCCCGCGAGCCTAAATCTTCATTTGAATATTCATGAACATCTTCACCCTGGAGGCCCGCCAGTCTAAATCTTCATTTTCACGAAATCTACGTCCTGGACGCCTCGCCAACCTCTTCATGAAAATCTTCGCCCCAGAGGCCCGCCCGCCTAAATCTTCATGAAAATCTTCGCCCCGGAGGCCCGCCCGCCTAAATCTTCACGAAAATCTTCACCCCGGAGCACCGCCAGCCTAAATCTTCATTCAAATCTTCACGACAATCTTCACCTCGGAGGCCCGCCAGCCTAATCACGAATTTTTACCCCGGAGGCCCGCCCGCATATATCTTCAGTTAAATCTTCACGAAAATCTTCACCCCAGAGGCCCGCCAGCCTAAATCTTCATGTAAATTCGAAAATCTTATCCCCGGAGACCCCCCCGCCTAAATCTTCATGTGAATCTTCACGAACATCTTCACCCCGCAGCCCCTCCAGCCTAAATCTTCATTTAAATCTTGATGAAAATCTTCACCCCGTAGGCCCACCCGCCTAGATTCTCATGTAAATCTTCACGCAAATCTTCACCCTGGAGGCTCGCCAGCCTAAATCTTCATCTAAATCTT